TTTTTTTTTCCCCACATGATTTTGAGTTTTGTTCCACATTGTTCTCCCTCTCTATCCAGGATCTCCTCCAGAGATCCCTGGAAGGTGTAGGTTTATGTGCTGTCCTGGGCTAGGTTCTAAAGAGGAGAAGGGCTAGTGGGAGAAGAAGAGATATAAATGGTACCAGGTGCTCTGGGTGGGAGGCCATCTGATAAAGAGGGAAGGTGGTGTGAAAGTCAAGGAGGGAACTCTGGAACTAGAAAACTCTGGGGCCATGTCCTGCCCATAACCCCTTCAGACTGGACAACTTTGGGAGTGCCATTTCTGGCCCTCATTTTCTCACCTATAAAGGTAGAAATCATCATACCTGGAGATTAAATGAAATTATGTGCGTGTGAAAGCACAGATTCCCAAACCTGAGTTCTAGTTGACAATCAATATGTTGTGTATCCAGTGCTAGGGATCCCATAGGAGGAGTGAGTAGAAGGTGACATTTTAGTTGGGGCTTGAAGGATGTCTAAGAATTTATTAGGCCGAGAAAGGGGAAAGGATTGTAGACTTCAAGAGTGGTCCTGTTTAAGTCACAGAGTTATGAAAGAACACGGTGCACTGGGGCAGTGTCATAGGGTTTTGAGGATCTGGTGGGAATTTATGGAAGAGAGGAGTAGAGGTGAACCTGGAGGCCTGGAAGATGGGGCCACATTGGGAATGCCCAGGTAGGTCTTGGGGAGGAGTTTGTGCTTTATCCGAAGGCCACAGAATACAATAAAGATGCAAAGGGAGAGCCAGGAACTGTGTTTTCATTTCGGGAGAAAGAGGAAGAAGGTCTGACTGAGGGCACTTCTGATAGCGAAGTGTGGATGGAGAAAGAGGAAACTGTTTCAGACAAGGAAGCATGGATCGGAAAATGTGTCCAGATCAACTACTATGTCTGCTTCGTTTCCAGATAACCAGCAAAAGCAAGGAGTCCGTGTGGGAGTTCATCAAGAGTTTGCTGGATGCCTGGTCAGGATGGGTTGTGATGCTGCTTATTGGCTTGCTGGCAGGTACGTGGTATGGTACACAGTACTCCCATGGCCCACGCTGGGTGTGCCAAACCCCAAAGCACCAACTGACAGCGATGAAATCCAGAATGTAGTTTTTCTCTTTTACCCCGTCCAAGGGCTTTGTTACTTGATATACCTCACAGCAAAATGCATGCCCATTGGAACAAAACTCAAAATCATTTGGAGGAAAAAAAAAAAAAGGTGAGGACCAGGTTTGCTGGTCCGATAGAGCCTGGTGGAACCACCGAGACTATGGCCCCTAGCTGCCCTTCAGGTCTGGAATTGAACCCACACCTGTGGTTTCCAGCCAAACAAAGTACAGGCATGTGAGTTAAACGTTTACCTCAAGTAGATACACGCTTTGGAGAGAACAATCATGGGAGAAAGAAGGGCTGCTTATGCATAGGGAGAGGGGGCAGGAGTGTGTGGAGAGATGGACACTGGGAAGAGGTAACTATGGGGAGGAAGTGGGAGGGAAGCTGTTGCATTTTGGAAAACTGTGGTCAATGACATGAGACAAAGTATATGTGAACTGCTGTGTGGAAAGTGAATTTGCTCTGTAAATCTTCACCCAAATCACAATAAAAAAAAAGAAAAAAAAATACATGCCCACATATTTAATATCTCATCCATAAGATGAGCCTGTGACATGGCCCCATGCTTGGACACATGGAGAGCTATAATTATAGAGATGTCAGGGCCTCTCCACCCAGTACAAGGGTTTCTCACCATACTGGATTTCATTGAAAGTACACATTTTACATTGGGTAGTACTTGTTTATGTAGAAGGTAAGACAATATGGGAAATATTGTGTCACCAGTGGCTTTTCTAATACCGGCAGATTCTAGAATGAATCATAACCTAAGATAACTCAGAATGGTGCTGGATACCCACAGGGTCTGAGGGAGTCCCAGGGGAGGTCTCTCCACCCAGTACATTGTTCCGAGTCTCAGAAACTGTGCATCTTTTGTTTTTATAATCCCAACATGGTATTTAAGAGCAATAGTAGATGTTTCCAGAATGAATGGATAGAAATATGATGGGAAATCTGCCCTTTCAATATCAAAACATAGGAGCTTTTCAGGCAGATTGTTTCTTGAAACTTACATCCTTTCAGGATGATATGAAGGTTAATCTTCAAGAATAATACATACAAGCATGCTAAAGAGATGCCCTTAAGAAAAACTCTTAAATATAACAGCATAGTAATTCCAGTTGGAGAGTTGATTAGGGGTTTCATTGTCAATCAGGCAGGATACAGTAAGTACTGTAGGAAGGCCTGCACTGATGGGGCACAGATGTGAATTTCATGATTATGGAGGGTTGAGATTTCTGGGTGATCTTTGGTTTATCCTATTTACAGTTGTTGGAGGGCTTGGTGGCTGGGGAAGGGCTCTTTCCCCTTTTGCTTGTCATAAAGAGCCAACGCTTCCCACCATCCATTTCTCTGAGTCTGCCCTCTTTCCTGGTGGATTTCCCAGTATATGATGGCAATCATGGGAGAGGAGGACTAGACTTCATAGATACATGACGTTTCATCACTCATTTTGCTTGACTGTGTCTGAAGACATATGAAGGTAGACAGGATGGGAGTGTGCTGTACATTTTGATGTCCTTATTTAGAATAGATTTATTAAATCTTAAGGCACCCTTGTACACAGCAGTTAAGTGCTTGGCTGCTAACCAAAAAGTTGGTGGTTTGAACCTGCCAGCTGCTCTGCAGGAGAAAGATGTGGCAATCTGCTTCCATAAAGATGACACAGCCTTGGAAATCCTATGGAGCAGTTCTGCTCTGTCCTGTAGGGTCGGTGTGAGTTGGAATTGACTTGGTGGCAGTGGGTTTGGGGTCTTTTTTCAGTTACTGAATCTTAATGTATCACTATCCCTGGCTCTCAGGAAGGAGGAAGAAATAGGTGAAATGAAGAAACCTGGACTGTATTGTGTGGCCGTTCATGGACTTTACATCTCAGAGCCTGATTGGCCTCTCCAGAGCAAACCTTGACTTTGACCAGCCGGCTTCAATCTCAGCCACATTTCTGTCAGTTCTTTCAGGAGGAATCACTTGGGGAATTTATATGTATGTATATATAAGGCTATACTGGGGTTGGCTCCACAGAAGGCCAGTTAAACAGCAGCTGGGGAGATGGCCTGACCTTGGGGGCTGTAAAATGCTCCCTTCCAGGGAATTCTGATGTGCAGCCGAGGTGGGACCATTGGAGAAAGGACAGTCCATGGACATAGCAGTGAAGGAGTACATGGATGGAGACAAGAATGGGATGATATTGAAAGCAAAGAGGGTCAACGTGGTTTGGGGCTTATTTATTTTTATTGTGGTAAAATATACACTTTAACCCTTTCTGGAGTGTAGAATTCAGTGACAGTAATTACATTCAGCGTGTTGTGCAAGCAGCACCATTACTCATTTCTAAAACTTTTTTTTTCACCTCAAACAGAAAGTGTCCCCAGTTAAGCCATAACTCCTCATTTTCCCCAAGTGTTCTTCTTCTCCTTCTTTTTTTTTAAATTGTGATTTGGATGAAAGTTTACAGAGCAAATTGTTTTTTCATTCAACCACCCATACATATTTGGTTTTGTGAATTGACTGAAGTCCCCACACTAACAGCATTCTTCCCACTTCCTCTTTGCACCCTTCCCTTTCCTTCCCTTGGTCCTTCCTTCCCATCCCCTCTTGCCTTCCTAGCTCTATCCTTGGGCAAAATCTGTCCTCTAGATCTCATATGCTTGATTGTTGTAATGAGTGCATACCCTCCTGATAGTACTGTTCACATTATAGGCCTGTCATTTGGTTGTAAGTTGAGTCACGGGGGTTAAGTTCAGTTCCTAGCTGAAAGGATGTCTGAGGGCCATATTCTTGAGGGTTCCACTAGTCTTCATCAGACCACTAAGCCTGGTCTTTTTTTTTTTAATTTTGAGTTTTATTCCACATTTTCTCCGACTCTATCTGGGACCTCTGAAGTGTTCTTTTAGCCTGGATGTACCTTAAAAGAATTGGGGATCTGCACCCCATTCATTTCCCCTTTCCCCAGGGACAGGAGCCAGTGGTTCCATTACGTGGCTTGTCACCCTGACAGTGCGACTTTGGCCATTATATTTTGATTCCCCAAACGGGGACCCAGAATCATCTCCTGCAGGGTGTTTACTAGGAAACTACCACTAGGTGTCACTATTGCACCACAAAACAGCCAAGGCCAACAGCTCAGTCAGCTCTAGACTCCGCAGTGAAGACAGCAGGTGGTGCAATAGGATAAAGAAATGAAAGAGCAGGCCCTGTCGCATTTGAGGCATCATGGGTCGTTCTCCTGCATATCTGCTGGACTCCTCCTCTTTCACTTTCCTCGGATCTTTGTTCAAATGTCATCTTCCATTTGATGATGCCTTCCTTCATGAAATGTTCACATTGTCCCAGAAAGTCAGTGCCACTGAGAGGGAATGGGGGATGGACGCCTGGTCTGTTGCCTTTTGAATCCACTAGATGGTGCCACTCACACTCACCACACCCAGCTCTTGACTGAATAGTCGGTCATCCACCCAGCTGAGAGAACTGCCCCGCCATCCAGACACTTGCCCATATGACAACCGGCCATGCTCCCCTTCCAGGCCATCATTGTTGTTGTTGTTGTGGTTGTTATGTGCTGTCGAGTCGGCCCCGACTCATATGGTGTGGCAATTCTGATTTTTCCTTGGATTTCTGTTGCTTACTGCTGTACTTCCCTCCTCCACAAGAGCTTTGGCCCTTCAGACCACTATGTTGGAATCCCTTCTGGCCTGAAAGCTGCCAGAACCTTCTCTCTGGCCTCCTTACCATCAGTCTTGTCCCAATTCAGTGAGTTCTCCACAATGTGGCCAGGCAGGCTTTCAGATTTGTGAAGGAAGAGAGAGGATGGTACCTGGAGGGCAGCATGAGACCAAGAGAGTATTTCAAAAGACTGTTTCTAAGATGGGAGTGGTGAGAAAACCAAAAAACCAAACCCACTGCTATGGAGTCAATTGCAACTTACGGTGACCCTTTAGGACAGAGTAGAACTTCCCCATAGGGTTTCCAAGGCTGTAAATCTTTGCAGAAGCAGACTGCCTCATCTTTCTCCCACGGAGCTGAGCAGCTGTTAGGTTTGAACTGCTGACCTTTTGGTTAGCAGCTGAATACTTTAAGCAGTATGTAACGGAGCTCCTTCGGGAGTGATGAGGGTGTGTTTAAATGCTGACAGGAAAAAGACTTCACAGGGGAGATCCAGGATAAGGAAGGAGGAGCTGTTAGAACTAGGCTGACAGAGGGATTGGGCCAAAGCAGCAGTGGGGGATGGGCCCTAGAAATGCCATGGGCAGCTTTTTCTGACAGGAGGAAGAAGGGGTGAGCACCCTTGTGGGTATGTGGGTGCGTTGGAGGGTGATGTGAGTGGGGAATTGGTAGTATAATGAGGACCAGTGAAACTTTGTGAAATTAAGTATCCTGAAAGTATTCCTTCTCTTTGTAAAAGGCTGGAATGCATTATCCTGGAAAAAGACCCAAGCCTTTTGTGGCCCACTGCACACTATTTATCCTACTTCTGTTTTGCCTTTAAGGCAGTTACTTGCAGATCCACAGACCCTTATCTGTAGTTCAGAAAATTTCTGGAAAGTTCTAGTAAACAAGGATTTTCCCAAGTTTAGTTTCCCAAGTTTTGTTGCCAAAACCTTAAATGATATGAAGCTTTTATAGTTGTCATACCTCCACTTTGTTGGAGATCCTTCCTCAGAACCTCTGAGGGGGTTATGTCATTTATTGGTGTACGTAACCTATTTACAAAATCTGAAAAGGAATGAGTTCTGAAAGCCACTCGGCCCCGGTGGTTTCTGACAAGAGTGTAGAGCTGTGTATCTCTCTCTCCAACCTGCCTTTGAGCCACTCGAGGCCTGTGTACTATTGGCCTTTGTATCCCTCGCTGGCCTATCCACTACCTTGCCTACACTATGGATGTTAACGTGGCTTAAAGATGAATCAGGAGGTGTCCTAGGTGAGTGGCGGCCCCATGGTGGGCTTTTCTGGACATCTTTGCCGACTTGCTCCCGTGTCGGCCTGGTATTGCGTGTTCCCAGCACGTGGAGTGGCTCCTCTGAGTGGCCTGTGCTCCTTCTTCTAGGTACTTTGGCTGGGGTCATTGACCTTGCTGTCGACTGGATGACAGACCTGAAGGAGGGTGTCTGCCTGTCGGCCTTCTGGTACAGCCATGAACAGTGCTGCTGGACTTCCAACGAGACCACTTTTGAGGACAGGGACAAGTGTCCCCTGTGGCAAAAATGGTCAGAGCTGCTGGTAAATCAGTCAGAGGTGGGTGTCTGGGCAGGGTCACAGCCGGGAACCACCATTCCACACGTGCTGTGGAGCACCTTTAGGCGCTTTCCAAATGTCTGTGATTTCACCTACAAGTGTCTGTTCTCAGACTTGTCCATGGCTTACTACTAATGTGACTTGTTTTTCTCTAGCTCTAATGCAGCCACTGAAACTTCAGTTGGAAAACCCATCCCCATTGTTTCACGTTTACACATGTACATGTACGTGTTTTTAAAGCCTTGTGTTTGGCTTTATTTTTCTTACTGAGGATAGTTTCTTGATCATGCTGAGGTAGTAGGACTGATTTTTATGTCTTTCAATTGAGGAGATAATTGGTCTTCATTCTTTTAAAAAAGCTCTATTGAGATATAATTTACATGCATACAATTCACCCATTTAAAGTGTACGGTTCATTGGTTTTTAGTGTATTCATAGGGTTGTGCAACCATCCCTATTATCTGAGAACATTTTTGTCACCCCAAAAAGAAATCCTCATACCCATTAGCAGCCACTCCCCATTTTCCTCCATCCCCCATCCCCAGGCAACCACTAATCTACCTTCTGACTCTATGGATTTGCTTATTTTGAAAATTTCATATAAGGGGAATAATACAACATGTGGCCTTTTATGTCTGGCTTCTTTCACCAGCGTAATGCTTTCAAGGTTCATCCGTGTTGTAGCATGTATCGACACTTCATTCCTTTTAATGGCCAAATACTTATTCTGTTGTATGATTATATCACATTTTGTTTATCTATTCATCAGTTTATGCATTTTTTTACTATTATGAATAATGCTGCTTTTAACATCTGTGTACATGTTTTTGTTAGATGTATATTTTCATTTCTCTTGGATATATACAAGGAGTGGATTTGCTGGGTCATATGGTAACTGTATATTTAGTCTTTTAAGGAACTGCCAGACTGTTTTCCACAGCAGCTGTACCATTTTGCCTTTCTATCAGCAATGGATGAGGATTCTGGTTGCTCTACATCCTTGCCAACACTTACTATTATCTGTTTTTTTTAATTATAGCCATCCTAGTAGGTATGAAGTGGTATCTCATTGTGGTTTAGGTTATCACCTTTCAATGCATGTTATGAGTGCATTAAAGATGTTTCTGGGCCTTCTATGGTGAGAAAGTCCCAGGCACGGAGGATATGGTGCTTAACCACAGACTGGATCCTTGCCTTCATAGACCTTAAAGCTTCAGATCTTTATAAAAATCTTAGCTCAGGAAGCAGGTAACTTCTAATTAAATCCACTTGCTACCATAGTGCCTATACACCATTGGGCAATCAGAAACCCAGGTGAGGGGGAGGTAGGTTGCCAAGATTCATATTAGGGGTGATGTGAGGACTGTTGCTGGTAGAACTATTCTTGGGAGATACATTGACTATTACCACATCTCCCTCCTCCATTCCCTACCCCCCCCCCATTGACTTAACCACAGCTGAAGACATTTGGAATGCCCTCTGCCATTTTGCTAAACCTCTTTCTCGGTGGAATTGAAAATTAATTCCTTCAAATCTCTGAAGTAGACAGGGATCTTGAAATCTCACACGTTCTCAGTGCTCTCCATTACTTCCAAAAATAAATTCTCTCCTCGGGTTGATGGGAGTGGGCAGGCAAGATTGGCCGGGCGCCATGTTTTCTTTCTTCCCTCCTCCTAGCAAGCTGTGTTTTGCGGCAATATGGCTGTCCATCTTTTCAGCTGTTTTTAAGATTTATACTCCGGTTCAAAGAATTACTGTTAGCAAGCGTGAGAAGTTATTTTTAGTTTCCAAAAAAAGTCCATTTTGAAGTGGGTGAAAGCTATCCCTCAGTCCGATTTCTCAACACGTAGGGTGTGAATATATGTGCTTGGCAAGGCCAGAGAAGTCCCCAGGACGGGGCTCGTTCCTTTTCACAGGCACACACATGTGGCCATGGCCTGCCTTGTACGTGACCTCTCCTTCCTCCTCCCTCACTGAGCCGTCCAGATGGCAGCAAAAGAAGCTGAGGCCCAGAGAAGCATGGTCTCTCCCCACCCCACAGACCAGGTCCTTGGCCTTGGAGACCACGGAGTGTGAGTTCAGTCCAGAACACATTCTGCACACAGCAGATAATTTGGGATAAATGTTGCACTGACTTATTCTGAAGGAGATGATGGCATTTTGTCACTCTAATAGTGCCTCTCAAATGCTACCTGCATCACCGTCCTCCGGAGGGCTCATTCGTGTAAACTCAGGTTTCCAGACCCCTACTCCACAGTTCCTGATTCTGCAGGGGCTGGGGCTGAGAATTGGCATCTCTCACAAGCTCCCAGGTGATGTGGAGGCTGTGGGTCCCTGGACCCCACTCTGAGTGGCAGCACTCTAAAATACAGTTCCAACACGTCATCATTGGCGGTGCCTGCTGTGGCAGGGATGTGGATTTAATGAAAGCTATGAGAGCCCCATCCACCGCAGACGAGACAAAACAAATTCTCCAGGATCTGAAAGGCAGCCTTTCTGCATCTCACCTTTCATGCACTCTTGTGTAAGGGGCGATTAAAATCCAGTATTATGCGTGGTTTCCCTTGCTGCTGAGATTTCGCCCTCGGAAGGGTTGTGTAAACAGCTCCTGGAGAAACACCAGGCGCTGTGTTTGTGTGTGCTGCCTGTAGCAATAGCAACAGCTGATAAAGCCACCAGCAGCCTTTCTGGTTCTCTGGAGGGCACAGAACCTGCCCAGTCCTGTTGAGGCGGCTGCTCTCACCACGGAGGGGCAGGGCTGGCTGCGTGTATCGCGCAGCTCTGAGAGGGCTCATGTTCTCTTCTTGTTTTGTGTCTCTTGTGTAGGGTGCCAGTGCTTACATTCTGAATTACTTAATGTACATCCTGTGGGCGTTGCTCTTTGCGTTTCTGGCTGTCTCCCTGGTACGGGTATTTGCACCCTATGCCTGTGGCTCTGGTATACCAGAGGTGAGTGTGGCTGCATGCCTTTTATACCAATAAGAAGAACATTTAGAGCTCTTCTCTAGAAGCACAGCCCCAAGCATTCAACATAGAAAAGCCAAACCAAAGCAGCTGCTGTGGATTCTGACGCCTGCTGACTCCAGGTGCATCAGAGGAGAGCTGGGCCCCATAAGGTTTTCCATGGCTGGGTTTTCAGAAGCCGATTTGCCAGGCCTTTCTTCTGAGTTACCTCTAGGTGGACTCAAACCTCTAACCTTTCGGTTAGCAGTGGATCCCGTTCACCGGTTGTACCGCCTAGGGACATCATTTGACGTTTCCTAACTCATTTCCTCCTCACAGTGAGCCCATGAGGTCGCTACTATTATTATTCCTCACTAGATGAGGTAACTGAAGCCCAGAGAGGTTAAGTCACCTGCCCAGGGTCACCAAGCCAGTACGCTGGGAGTTGAACTTTAGATTCTTAACCGCTGTGCTCTGCCACTTCTCAGAAGATGAAAGCATTGTTTTTGCAAGTCACGCTTGAGTCTTAAAGCCTGTGGAATCAGAGTTCATTAACCACACACATCAAGTGGCTCAGGGGTAACTTGTCAGTGCAGCTGGGATGTCATGTGAAGAAAGATGGGGTCGGGTTGACGGTGGGGGGTGGGTTGGTTGTGGAGAAAGTTTCCTGAGATTCTGCTCCCTTGCCACGTTTTGCTCTTATAGTAACAAGGTAATAGCAACCAACCTTGAAAACATGGACTTCCCCATACAGTGCATGCCCTGTGGACGTCGCCCTGTGCAGTTTGAGTTCTCATAACTGGTTTTCAGCACTTTCACGGAGCCAAAGTATGAAGGAAGTAACCTCACCAATCGAGGAGAATGCCTGAAACCCAACTTCCAACCTGGGAGGATCTGCTGGGTGGAATGACGGTAATTGAGCAAACTCCCAAATAGCCCAGACAGGGAGCATTGTAGTCAGAAATAATTGTTGACATTCTCATATGCTCTCCATCATGGATGAAGTGTGGTTCCCCCTCACGTGGGCACTCCAGAAATGCCCTGAGGCTGTGGAAAAGCTCAGTGTGAGTGTGTAGATGCAACCCAGACTCCTTGGCTACCTGTTCCTGGTGCCCAGCCCTTGGTGGGGAGCTCTCCAACACTTGTCTGGGCTCACCCGTGTGAAAGGCTTTGGCCAGTGGGACTGGAAAATCTCCCATGCATTGCGGCTTGTTCTCTTGCTGCTCTTGGAACCTGAGACCACCTTGTGAAGAAGCCTAGGCTAGCCTGCTGGAGGATGAGTGATCCCATGGAAGAGAGGCCCCAGTCATTCCAGCCATATCCATGATTTCCAGGTGTGTCAGCAAGCCCAGGCAAGAACAACCAAGCCTGGCCCAAACTGGAAGGACCACCAACCTAGCTGGTCCTGGGCTGAACTGCTAACTCACAGAATCATGAGAGCTAAACACATACAGTTAATCCTCATTATCCATGGATCCCGTATTCTTCAGTTTACCTGTTTATTACAAATACAGTCATTCACAGATATGTGCACATACAGAGCAGCAAAAAATTCCCAGCTGAGGTTGAACAAGGCTGGTTTGGTATTTCAGGGAACTTTCTGGAACATAACTATCACAAATAATGAGACTTAACTGTAGTCATTGTTTTAAGCCACTCCATTTTGGGGTGGTTTGTTACGTAGCTAAAATGAACTGCTAATGGAGAAATTAGCAAAACTTAGGCAAAGCCACCATGTTGTTGAAAAAATACCGAATTGAAATACTGGACAACCAGCTGAGCAAATGACACTATGGAATTTTTTTTTTTTTTTTTTTTTTTTTTTGAGAAAATGGAAAGCATATTCTTAAAGTTAGGAAGTGATGCTTAGTAAAGAAAAGAACACTTGCCTGGATCTTGGTAAATCGGAATGTCATACCAGAGGCACTCACTCAGTTATGCCAAGAGATTTGGAAGACAGCTACCTGGCCAACTGACTGGAAGAGATCCACATTTGTACCCATTCCAAAGAAAAGTGATCCCACAGAATATGGAAGTTATCAAACAATATCATTAATATCACACGTAAAATCTTCCTAAAGATAATTCAAAAACAGTTGCAGCTGTATATTAACAGAGAATTCCAGAAATGCAAGCTGGATTCAGAAGAGGACGTGGAACAAGGGATATCATTGCTGATGTCAGATGGCTCTTGGCTGAAGGCAAAGAATACCAGAAAGATATTTCCTTGTGTTTTATTGACTATGCAAAAGCACTTGATTGTGTGGATCTTAACAAATTATGGGTAACATTGAGAAGAATGGGAATTCCTGAACACTTGATTATGCTCATCAGGAACTCTTGCATAGGCATCTTTGAAATGAAATGTTTAGCATGGAACCTTGCCACTGGGATAAAGGCAGATCTAAGATAGAAAGGAGATTGGTAATCAAAACCAAAAGGAGAGTGTGACGAGGTACCTACACTAAAAGATTGAAGACCAAATATGCAAAGAGTCACCTGGGAAGTCGTGCAAGACTGGCATCCACCTATCATTGCATTTGGTTATACGGCATCAGACACGCTATCAAAAAGAAAAACCCACCAAGAAAAGATGGAAGATAGAAGGATTAGCCTGAATCCCACAGCTAAAAGCAAAGCACTATTGAGGTTCTTTTCCTCCAGCTGTACGTTTGCACGTGAGCAGTTCTGTTGGCAGAGAACTCCACAGAGGGAAGGGAGGTACTGGAAAAATCAGACCCTCCTCATCTCTGAGGTCCTTTCCCTCATGGGGAGGAGAAAGAGTTGAAGAGGACAGAAAAATGATGCCTGGGCAAAGCTAAAGCACTGGTCTTTCCCAGTTTGCACAGTGCTTCTACAGATAAAGCACATTTAAAAGTGAACAGTCATAGTCCCTTGGACTTGGGAATTTGGAGCTGAACTGGGCAACGGTGTCCTCCTTTCTCCTTGTGTTTGTGTTATCAGGGGACCACTGTCAACTGTGGAAGAAATCATGTCCTCTTGGAACATTCTAACAAATATTCTACTTCTCAGAGAAGATTCTGGTTTGAAAGTTAACACCCACAAAGTCACAAATCTGCTGCAGCGCATCTAGTTAAAGCCCTGCTGGGCCAGTCTCTATTAATTCAAATTAAAGCAAGTGATTGGATTTTGGCATCTACTGGGAACGGCTTTGGCTTCCCAGCCCCTAATTTGATCATGACAATTTTATAAAATCATTTTAGAGAATTACAAAATACCTATTACATTGTTCCATTCACCACATGTCACGGCTGGCAAAGACTCAGGTAATTTAGATGCTTGTAATTTTCTAAATGGTATTATGCTTTTCAACTGTGCCCTGGGGTCTATATCCACATTAACTAACTGACAAAAAATTATAGATAATTTTATTCGAGGCAACAAAAAAAGGGCAGGATTGTGGCAGGCGTAATAAAACATCCCTTAAATAAAGGGACCTGAGATCCCCAGAGCACAGGTCCAGTTAGGCTAACTACTACTAGTTAAGGACTAGTTTAACTGCTGCTTATTTGTCTACCGTTAGTTAAAGGCAAAGAAATACCATCTGGCTTTGGCTGTATCACTAGAGCCACCACTCATGTGTCAGTTGGTCATCCTGCGGTGACTTCCATGTTGCTGTGATGCTAAAGCCGTGCCTCTGGTGTTTCAAAATCCCAGCAGGGTTGGCCATGGTGGACAGGTTTCAGAGGAGCTTCCAGACTAAATCAGACCAGGAGGAAAGGCCTGGCTATATGCTTCTGAAATTAGCCAGTAAAAACCTTATGGATCAAAACAGAACATTGTCCAACTGGACTCAGACATGCCAATGATTATGAATACGGCACAGGATTGGGCACTATTTCATTCTGTCATACATGGGATCACCACGAGTTGGGGCTGACTCCACAGCAAGTCACAAGTGTGGCAGAAGACCACACTGTGTTCTTACAGGAAGGATGTCATTGCATTCTGGGAATCCGAAAACACACATACAGACGCATTCACTCTTTCTCTCTTGGTTTTTATCTCTACTTGAATTAACAAACAGATTTCTGCCAATCACTCCTGAGATGAAAATGCTCACATTTAGCCCATGGGCTGCAGTTTGCTGACCCCTGACGTAAACTATTCAACTGATATTTTGCTTGATTTACTCTTGATCTCATTATACTGGGCATCTTTCAATAGTCCAAAGTTAACAGTTAAAAGATATGTCTTTTCTCAACATAGCAAAGAGTCATGTGAACAGAATGAAATGCTGTAAATGAAACGAGATCTTGGTAATTCTTCAGTCCTTGTTACAATGTCTTAGTGCTCTAGGATTAAGATTTACCACTCATCGGAGCGTTTAAGAATTTCCATTAATAAAACATAAAATTGTATATTAATATAATAAAAGTTCTGTTGATATATTATTATATAAACTATATGGTCGCTATGAGTCAGGGCCGACTCGACGGCACGTAACAACAACAACAACAACAACAACAACATAGCAAAGTAAAAAAACTAAAAGACCCCTCCTGAAGCACTTAACACACTCCCTGCTAACCGAAAGGTTGGGGGTTCTAGGCCACTCAGAGACATCTTGGAAGAAAGCCCTGGTGATCTCCTTCTGGATAGTCAGCCACGGAAAATCCGACGGAGCGCACACAGTTCTGCCCTGACGCACACGTGGACCCCAAGAGTCAGGCTCGACCCCTTGGTAACTGGATTTAGTTTTTTGTCTGTCTACGATTGAGTGCAGCTGAGCTTTAAAAATGTATTTCTGAGGAATGAGTTATTTCTCTGGTCATGGCATTGAAGCAGCGGATTCCCACCTCCTCCTCCTCCACCTTCTGTTTCAGATAAAGACCATTTTGAGCGGCTTTATTATCAGGGGCTACCTGGGCAAGTGGACTCTGCTGATCAAGACCGTCACTCTGGTGCTGGTTGTGTCGTCCGGCCTGAGCCTTGGCAAGGAAGGGCCCTTGGTGCATGTGGCCTGTTGTTGTGGCAACTTCTTCAGCAGCCTTTTCTCCAAGTACAGCAAGAATGAGGGCAAGAGGCGTGAGGTGAGCCGGTTCAGCCTCCACAAGCAGCCCCCTTGGCTGTCCCACCTGCTCATGGTTCTTTTCAGGAAAGGACTCGGGCTTAATGAAACGGTTTGCCTTGTAGGTACTTTCAGCTGCTGCTGCTGCAGGAGTCTCTGTGGCCTTTGGCGCCCCAATTGGAGGTGTGCTTTTCAGCCTGGAGGAGGTGAGAATGGCTGTGGAGGCTGGGGGATGGATTCACGGTTTTCTGTTTTTTTTAGTAACACATTTGCCAACTCAGCACTGTTCAGGTGTACAATTTAGTGATGCCAATTACATGAATCATGTGCAACCCATCACCCTAAACAGAAACTCAGTGCTTCCTAAAGAAGGACTTCCCCTGCCCTCTCCCACCCCACTCACCACTAAAACTTTGTTCTCTGTGTGTTCGCCCATTCTTGCTATTTTACATAAGTGAGGTCACATAATACCGTCCTTTTGTGATTGACTTATTTCACTGAGCATCATGTTTTCCAGGTCCCTCCATGCTGACCTTCATTTCTCCTTATAGCTGAATAATACTCACTTGTACGGATGGACCGTGTTTTGTTTATCCATTCCTCCATTGATGGACATTTGGGTGGTTTTGCCTTTTCGAAATTGACGGTTTTAAGGGGCAAGGAATATTTGGATGATAGGCACAGTGGGGTCTTCCACTCTAACCCTTGGGGGCCCAGATTCAAGAAGGATTCAGTGAGATTCTTGCTATTCATTAAAGAATATCTGCCATTCAATATCTCTTCTTAAGCATTGTTTTAAAAACTGCCAATGTGACTTTTTTTTTTTTTTTGAAGATTTACATTATTCTCTTTCTGCCTCATAATCAACTTAGTTAAGCACTTTTGTTTTGAGGAACGCAAATGGATTTATTCCAGGGGTTGGCAGACATTTTTCCTGTAAAAGGCCAGATAATGAATCTTTTAGGTGGACCATGCACTTCTGTCACTACTCATTAACTCTGCCATTGTCACGTGAAAAGCAGCTGTAAACGATATGTAAGTGAATGGGCATGGATATGTTCCGATAAAGCTTTATTTATGGACATTGATATGTAAATGTCATAGAATTTTCACATGTCGCAGGATATTCTTGCTCTTTTTTTAAAAAAAACCATTTAAGAATATAAAAGTCGTTCTTAGCTTGTGGGTCATATGAAAACATTTGGTGGGTCAGCGTTGGTGGTTTGCCAATTCTGATCTGTTTTGTTGTCTGTACAGAATCAAGCCCAGAGGCTCTTGTGCTTTTGGGAGAGTCTTTGTGCCCAGAACAAAATTATGATTAAATACTTTCATTTCTCTTAAAAAAAATAGCTCAAGCCCACTTTGATTCATATCTGTTCCACTTCTAGACACAGAGTCCCTTAAATATTTTTATTGATTCATTTTGGTCAGAAGGAAACCTAGATTGGTGAAGTGACTCCAGCCACCCTTTGGTCTTGGAGTGTGTCTTGGGTGGCTGCCAACCAGTGGGCCCGGGGCTCAGCACAGCTTTCTTTAGGCAGAGTCTAACGCTCCATCTGTTCCTCTAGGTCAGTTACTACTTTCCCTTGAAGACCTTGTGGAGGTCGTTTTTCGCAGCCCTGGTGGCAGCCTTCACGCTGCGATCCATCAACCCCTTTGGCAACAGCCGCCTTGTTCTCTTCTATGTGGAGTACCATACCCCCTGGTACATGGCTGAACTCTTCCCCTTCATCTTGCTGGGGGTCTTTGGGGGCTTGTGGGGGACACTCTTCATCCGTTGTAACATTGCCTGGTGCCGGAGGCGCAAAACCACCAAGCTGGGGAAGTACCCGGTGCTGGAGGTCATCGTGGTCACCGCCATCACTGCCATCATTGCCTACCCCAACCCCTACACACGCCAGAGCACCAGTGAGCTCATCTCCGAGCTGTTCAATGACTGTGGTGCCCTGGAGTCCTCGCAGCTCTGTGACTACATCAACGACCCCAACATGACCAGGCCTGTGGATGACATTCCTGACCGGCCTGCCGGGGTTGGGGTATACACGGCCATGTGGCAGCTGGCCCTGGCACTTGTCTTCAAAATTGTCATTACCATATTCACTTTTGGCATGAAGGTGAGTGAAGGGGAGGAGATGGGAGGCCCTGGGTCCTTTGTGGGCATAGCAGCCTGCTCTCCAAAATGAAATTGATGGGAGGAAAAGAGGAGCTGACAGTTACTTGAATTTTCTCCTGTGCCTGGCCCTTGATTTATTTTAGTTGTCACAACATGCCTATGAAATAGAGACTTTAACCCCATTTTATGAGCAAGGCAGTGAAGGCTCTGAGAACTAAAGTGGCTTGCTCAGACCCACAGCACGTGGGAGGAAGGGGCAGGAACCGAAGCCGCTTTATCACATTCCCAGGCAGGTGGTAATCTGGGTTCACCTGCCAACTGGGTGGTGCCAGGTGGCGGGAAAAGCCCGGGTTCAGATCAGCAGATGCACCTTGAGCCTCCGCTGCATCCTAGGTACTGTGCTAAGTACAGAGCCCAACAGCACTGGCCCTGGAAGGGCATCGGGAGAGAAGGACACGCCGACAGAGCTCTCTGACTGGAGGCAGGCAAGCCAAGCCTGGCTGGGTGCCACACGGGGGCTCCGTGCCCTCATTCTTTGCGGACAGGGAGTGCTTTGGCCAGCTCTGGAGGGCAGGGTGGCTTTCATTATTCCTGTTATTAAAGCCAGTGAAAAGGACAGCTTTTTTTTTTTTAATTATTGTGATTTGGGTGAAATTTTACAGAGCAAATTCATCCTCCATACAGCAGTTCACGTACACTTTGTCTCATGACATTGACTCCAATTTCCCACAGTGCTACAGCTGCCTTCCCACTTCCTCCTCATAGCCACCTCTTCCCTGTGTCCTTCCCTCCATACACTCCTGCCCCCTGAGCTGTCTCCCTGTGCATACACAGCCCTTCTGTTCTCCCATATTGATCTCTCCAAGGAGTGTACTACCTAATG